ACTTGTCAACGCATGGGCATTTCAACGGTCGCTGTTTACTCCGATGTGTAAATATTTTTTTCATTTTCATGCGACCTCGTTCGAAAATCGGGTTTTATTCATTACTATTTTTTTTTTAAAAAAAAAAGCGACCGAGATGAATTATTCGTAAAATTCGCAGACGAAGCAGTAAGTATTGGTTCTTCTTCTGCAAGTGAATCCTACTTGCAAATTGAAAAGATAATCTTAGCTGCCTACAGAACGGGTGCCCATGCAATTCATCCAGGTTGGTCCGCCATAAACCCTTAAATAATTGTACAAATTGAATCACGAAATTGAGCATTGACTAATCACGATAACTTGTACTCTTCGAGGATATGGATTTTTATCTGAAAATGCAGAATTCGCTAGACAAGTAGCCGAGGCTGGGAAACGTTATTCCACTTATGATCTGATCTTCATTGGTCCTCACCCAGATTCAATAATGGCGATTGGCGATAAGGTTTTTTTTTTTTTTTTTTTTTTCAATTGAATCAATCGTCTTTATTGCTTCATAGTAAGGCTTTTATTTATTACCATCACATAGATCGGAGCCAAAAATCTGTTATCTAAAAATTTACCGTCCGTCCCAGTCATACCTGGCTACAATGGCGATGATCAAAGTTTGGAAGTAATAGTGCAAGAGGCTAAAAAGATTGGTAAGCGCGCGCGGATTATGAGCGGGGTATTCATAATTATAGCCCAATAAGTCGGTATTCAAATTATGTTTTATCTAAGGATTTCCAATATTATTGAAGGCCTCCGCCGGAGGAGGTGGTAAAGGCATGCGCGTGGTATACGAGGAATCAAAGTAAACAACTGTAGTATATTATCAGCTTTGTTTTATCGTATCGCGATTTCCAATCTCACCATCGCATATCGTACGCCAATTCGTACTCATCAAAAGACTATTGGAAGAAATCGAGCTTGCCAAATCGGAATCTCTCAGGTCCTTTGGTTCCGATAGACTTTTAATAGAAAAGTATTTTGATTCGATCCGTCATGTCGAGGTTAGTTTGAAAGTGCGAGTTTAACTTCTCATTGTCACCTTGATTAACATCACGACCACGACTTAGGTTCAAATATTAGGAGATCAATACGGAAACGTTTATCATTGTTTTGAGCGAGATTGTTCTGTACAGCGCCGTTATCAAAAAGTGATTGAGGTATCTTCGTATTGATGATTCTTTTAAGTTGGCGTTTTCTCCGACCATTAATAATGTTTGATGCCTGCGTAGGAAACGCCTTCCCCATTTCTAGAACAAGACCTGAGAGATCGAATGTTTGAAGTTGCCGTCCAAATTGGAAAATTTTTGAAATATTCCGGGGCTGGTACTGTCGAATTCATTGTGGTAAGTTCATCTGTTTCGTTTAGCGGTCTGAGAAACCCTCGGTGGTCTCTCTTTTTTACGGCAACGAATTTCACTCGCAGGATGAGAAAGAGAAAAGATTTTATTTTCTCGAGATGAATACTCGTCTACAAGTTGAACACCCGATCACTGAACTTGTGACGGGGACGGATTTGGTCGAACTTCAAATATTAATTGCGCAAGGTTTTAATTTAAACCCTTCATTTTTGACGGTTCCCTTGTTTCAACCCAGACTTCGTTGATCAACAATAATTGTCTCTCTAATATAGGCCACGATTTGTCTCGATCGATGTTGCCAACATTAAAATCAAATGTAAATTATCCTTTATTGTATGACAAAAATGTGTAAATGTTGATTCCCGGTATGCGCGCGTGACGTATCGTATCATGATAACATTGATTTAGGGGCATGCCATCGAGTGCCGTCTTTATTCCGAAGATCCTTGCAATAATTTCCTCCCGAGCACAGGAAAGGTGCGCCGCTGGAAGCAATGCAAAATGCCTCACGTTCGATATGATACCAGCATTAAAACAGGTACTCTATGGAGAAGGAATGAATAGACGAGTTCACGAATTCTTGAGATGGAAGTTGTCATTCGACAAAAATCTATAACACGAACAAACTGTCTACATCCATATACATAGGATCCGAAATATCGATATATTATGATCCACTAATTTCTAAAATTTCGGTATGGGCCCCAACCAGGAAACAGGCACTTCAGAGGATGGTGTATGCCCTTCGCAACACGGTCTGCCTTGGTCTGGTTACTAATCAAACGTTTTTATCAAATGTTCTTCATTGCCCGGATTTCGTATCAGGCAGATATAATACCAAATTTATTGACAAAAATTATCCTCAAAGTCTCCTGAAATCTTGGAAACAACGAAACCTTCCAAAGAAATTGGTGATTGCTCCGTTTTTATGGTTCTGGTATTCAAGGGAGAGAGAACGCACAACGTTACACCACATTCCTTCAAGTTGGAGGTATGTGAGGTATAGGAATCCAACGGATGAATATTTACTTGAAAACGGCCGTACTGAAAAACTGGAATATGAGTTTCTCGGTCGAACCGAGGATCGGATGAATGCGAATAACTCGCAATATAAATTTACCGTTTGGATAGAAGAAAACAACATCAACCTAGCTCACAATGTTCTATTAAATGGAGTCACAATTAATGATCAAAATGGCATGTATCTTTTTTTCATTACGCTGCCAAGTTTCGCTTCCACCTGGGGCTCTGATCTCAATCGTTTTTTTACCTTTTCAGATTACATTCATGGTACCTTGCAATGCACCATAGGTTAGCATTTATCCGTGACCGTGAAAGTGCCAATGCACATGTACCTGCGCTCATATTGAATGCATGTTCTTCAATTTTTTTCAGATGGGGAACAGAGGAAGTTCGAGTTTGCAAATGGATCCGGGCACACTTGGCAGCGAGAAGTTTTTGTTCATGAATACCGAAGTTCCGAACAATACAAGTTCACCAGAAGGGATAAGTTGAAAGTGTCCTCAACAGATGCTGAAGATGACGGTGCGTAAATTCATATTGACTTTCTATTAGTCTTTTCTCAATGTACTTTTTCAAGTAACATTTCTCCCGTCGATTCCTCAGTGTCCCCATACCTGGCACCGATGCCATGTCGAATCTTAAAATTGCTGGTCCCATCGGGCTCCAAGATAACAAAAAATCAGCCCATTCTGACAATGGAATCGATGAAGACCGAGATCAGATTGTATAGCAGGCATGATGGTGTGGTTAGAATTTTGGTCAAAGAGGGTGATGTTGTTGAGGCAGGAACTTTGTTGGTGAAGGTTGAGTGATTTGCTTTTTGGATGTTGACCATGATGTGCAACCTAAACAAGACACGTATATTGAATGTCATGACATCACGAAACATGAATAAAAGGGAAGAAAAATGTTCTTTATTAGGGATATCAATTGTCCTGGTTGATCGCGACACTTTGGTCTTTGCATAAAGAATTTCTATTAATGGTTGTTTTCCCGGTCTCTCCAGTGGTATTTAATAAATAATCTGTTATACATTATGACATGTGCAATAAAAATATTTCAGTGAGAATACAGTGTTATGCAGTGGTAAATCTATTGTCGTGGATTGCTTCGATTTGCGCGTTCATGATGGTGTAAAATTCTTGTCGTGAAGAAAAATTTTCGCTAAGTTTAATCTCTTGGAAGCATGTAGCAAACTTGGGTGTAATGTTGATTTCTCTGGGCTCCCCTTGGAGGTGAGGTTTAAAGGATACCTTGTAAATTCACAAAAATTATCACTTCGATTAATTGCATACACCAAGAAACGAGATCATAAAAGCTGTGTGTAATATAGGGATACCTTTATTTGTTCTCTGGGGTTCTTGAACCCAGTAACCAATCTACAGAATTCCTGCAGCTTCGACTTCTCTTGCATTCTTAGCCAATCAATGAGATAAGTTCGAACTCTGTTTTGCCGATGATTTAGATTATCATCGAAAACCAATTTTTGAATTATGTCATTGGGGTTTATTATCTCACGGTAAAAGTAATTTTTGATGTCCGCGATATCGATTCGCTTCGATTTCAAAACCTGCAGGCAATAATAATCAATCGATATTTGAGAAATAGAAGGGGAGCAAGAGAAAAAGACGATGTCAACGTGCGATGATGCATTGTTGGTTACACACATCGAAAAAGCCGAACTTGTTAAATTTCTTATTTATAGCCTTAAGCTGGTTGATACGGCTGTTAATCAAAACATCCTCGCAGATGAGCCTAGACAATTTCCTTAAATTGCCCCTCGACCTGGAGTACAATTCCTTTTGCACGGACTAAGGTGAGGTGATCGAATTAAAGAGAAGAAGGACGAAAGGAAAGAAGGAAAATTAGTACGATAGGATTTTAAACCGAATCACGTGACAATTGCAGACGACGTGCATTGATTTCCTTCTCTTCGGCCCACTGGTCAAATCCTTCTATCGTCGATAACTTCACGTTCGGTTGTGCTTCGTAAATGTTTCTGGCGAGATTATACATCGTCGTGCTGAATCCTCTCAAATCCTCCACCGATATAGTATTCTCCAAGCTCAAAGAGTACTTGAACAGTGCAATATCCAGGTCACTTGGAAACGGTATGTTGTGAATCACCGCCAGATACAATACATCGCCAAACGCCTGATAGAATGTCAGGAACCATTGATTGCAGATATTAAAGTTTGTCAAATTTGCAAGAAGACGATAGGTATTGGTCATGTATATTCACATCAAGTTCGTCCACAAAATGAACTGGTGCTGTGGAACTAATCAGCTTGGAAGATTCTCCCGTGAAGAGATGACCGTCGCCACCATATTCGGGGTTTTCCAGCGACATAAATATTTCCAAGATCTGACGAATCGTATCGTTGAACACTCCGCCTGCATCTAATGCTGGTCTGATGAGAAATTTTAAAGCGTGAAAAGGTGACCAATAAAAAAAAGTCGTGACCAAGACCCTTATATAAAACACAAACTTACTCATCTCTGAAGGCAACTCTTGGTTTCAATACAAAATCTGTTTCATTGAATCCTTTGATGGCAGCTATGAACTCGGTAAACATGATATCCGGGTTTCTTGATGAAAGCGGAATATGAGCAATTTTAGCACAGGGATGCTTCTGATGTAGTCTCGCTTTGAACTCGTGGATGATTGATCCAAGATCTTGATGCGTGATTTTATTCAAGAGGGTTCGCGATTTAGAGGTGACGCTGACAGGTGGTATGCAATTTTAGCATTCACACATAAATATATATATATACCGTTTTGGGTTATCTCTTCTGGAGATACTGTTATCATATCGGCGTATATGTGGCATTGTAAATAAACGAATAGAGCATTGTTTTTTGCAAATTTGAATTAGTAGCATTAACGTTAGTCACCTCCACTTGATTCATTTTCATAATAATCTTCGGTCGAATTGCCAATATATATTGGATAGCCAGGAAAATTATTTTCATCATGGTTGCTTTCTTCAAAATGTTGTTGTTGTGTTGAAAGCGGTAAGTATGGATCTAGAGGTTATGGGTAGAATGCGAAATAATTCACACACACACACACATATATATAAATGGCTCCAATCATTCGTCAATAAATCAGTCATGACAAATGAGAATTATTACCTTCAAAAAAACTTGTATCCTCTTCGAATAATGATGAAACTATCAAAGAATATTCGTCATTCTTAAGCTATATCAAAAATTCAAACGAAAAGCTTTAAAGCATACCATCAATTGACCTAATATTAGGAGCGTTGGATTCTTCTGCATCAAGAGATTCTTGTAATTCTCTGGCAATGGCTTCATCATTGGAAGTATCATCTCTCGCACCATCTCGCCTCCTTCGAACTAAGGTGATAGCTATATACGTCACTATTTTCTTTTCGTGATGTCCAGCTTAAAAAACATTACCTCGAAATGATTCTGGCCTTGTACCTAGAAAAGATTCTCGCCTGTTGTTTTGAATTGGTTCTGACCCATTACCTGCTTGCTCACTATCAAATTCACGCTGTAATCGTAATGCGTATGCGTGGTCTAATTCTAAAAAGTGATTGCGCAAAAGAAATGTTATATTCTATAATCCCCTATAAAATACATAAGTCGAAGTTACATATTTTCTTACCTTCCCTGTCCTCTTCGATCAATAAGAATTCTGAAGAGTAGATTCGAGTTTAGCGAATGTTAAGAATATACAACTTTTTTCATATCTATCTACGTTAATGAATTAGATTACGAATACGTACGAGAATTTTCGTATGGCGTCTCATACCAGCTCATAATTTTGATAAAGATGTATTGTGTGTCTGCAACCGTATCCGGAGCTTAAATACTGTACATGCCGCCACTTTTCAGCGTGTAACACAACTTCTAATCAGACTCCAAATATAGGTTATTTTGCGTTTGCCTTTATGATCCTCTATATGGAAACAATTAAAGTGACAAGCCCTGAATCCTAAATATCGATCAGAAATATCATCAGTACATTACGAATACGTATTGAATCGAATCTGTACTACGAGTGTATGCAATTAGCAGCGTGTTTCATTTTTGAAAACAAAGACGGATGCGTTGTAAAAGTTTTTTACTGCATTTGCCGTTACTACATTTGTTGTTGCTACATGAAAATAAATGCGAAGGTAAGGGTGATAACGGGAACCTTGAGTTTCTCGAGTCTCCAGATTTTGTGGCATGTCGCAGAAATTTCTATTATTTTTATTGTGATACGAACGATGAAAACGGAAATTTTGGCAAGTGGGTTTATTTTTTTCTGTTAAGCGGAACCTCATAACATCATTTAACTGTATATGCATAATGCTAATTGGATATTTAATGATTTTACCCTTTTCTTACAACAATACGTATTTTTTTAAAAAAAAAGGATCTTGCATTCAGTAGCGCTGCTCATGTTGAACCACACAGAATCTGGAAAATTCCAACGAAATTTTTTTATTTTACAAATCATGATGATCACCTCATTATTTAATTATTCTTTACTGTATATCACACATTGATTCTTAACGTTTTTTTTTTTAAGTTTTGCCATCACCCCTTCTGCAGTACAGTATACGTAAAAGCATTGATACATCAGACATAATATGACTCACAGTATACACATATATTTCAAATTAAAATAAATTTGGAAATTAGATTTTCGATTTCCGTCGGGATTGCCGTTATTAAACGTTTATAGAAATTGTTTCATGTTTTTTAAAAAAGAAATAAATTTTATTTACTTTATAATTATAAATTAATTTATTTTCTAGGGAAATGTAAATAAAATCAACGGCGATTTCTTATTTGATTAATTAAATGAATTTGAATTAACTATTTAATCATTGTTACTTGGTGAACAAATCGCGATGCATACTTTCATTGCGCAGTTATAGGTCACGTGACATACGTTGTTTTTTTTGCATAATTAAATTCCAAAAACAATATTATTAACGTAGTTTAAAAAAGTTAATAAAATTCTTAAATATAAACTGTAGTTGATTATTTTGAAATTAAATACATTTTTAAATTAATAAATTTTCGAATTGCCATATTTTTAAACTCGTAGATTTTTAATTTAAATATATAAAGTATATTAAACTTAATATTTTCATATTTTCCATGGTCATGTTAGACCATCTATTTATTAATCAAGTTGAATATAAAGTACATATTCATTTAAGCAATATAATATCAAGTCTAATTAACTCATTATAAATATAAAATATCTAAGTTTAATCTTAAAGACAAGTAAAAATAATTTAATTATATTATTTCTAATTAGTTTAGATTATTTCTATTTAAATATATATTTTGATCCTGACCTGTGGATCTATAGCACAGTGGTAGTGCTCCCAGGTCACAATCACAAGGTCCAGAGTTCAATATCACACAAGGGC